CCCCAAAACCCCAAAACCCCAAAACCCCAAAACCCCAAAACCCCTTTTTACCTGCAAAATATTGAAGATTCTTAACCCATTACGCAACTATTAATAACAAATTTGTTCTGTCGAAAATATTTAACTAGTGATGGCTGAAGAAGTCCGAAAGATATAGATGTTGGTGCACAAAGATTTGTACTATCCCTCCAATCACCCCATTCCTAAACTCCACCTCCCCGACCAGATTCTGGCCATCCTAGTCACTCTATAAAAAAGAAGTTTAATACAGTTATAGTAATTAATATGCAATCTTGATCAAATTATTCGTATATACCAAAGAGCATTAAGCAAGCTTTTCTTGGTGAAGAGGTTGAAGAAATCAAAGAAGAAGAATGGGAAGTCCACTCAGACTCCTTAAATGAGAGCCTTGACTCTGGCAGTGACGAAGAAGTATCTGTAGGAGAAAAAGAGGATGCCATGAGTTCATCAGAATCATGTAGTGATTCTGATGAACTGATTGTCCTTCGAGGTGTAGGGTTAGATTTTGAGAGCCAAAAGAAGCCGAAGGCGAGTAAAAAGAGAGCATTGGCCACTAAAAATAAGACAATGTCTTCAAGACAAACTCCAGTTGTGAAGAAAGCATCAATGCAGCTAAAGAAGAAGGCAGTCAAGGAAAGAATCAACAGACAAGGCAGAGTCTTTAAAGCTGAAGTTGACACTAATGTAATGTCTATTGACCTGAAAGTTCTTAAGGATGATGGCAATATTGCTTCAGGAGATCCTGTCTTTTGTGAAGGATGTAGAGCTGTTCTTAATATCCACAGTAAACTTAACCCTTCAGCTGAGCCAGGGTCTGATGAAAGTCTTTGGAAATGAGAATTTTGAGGTTTCTCTAATGAGATTACAATCGATCAAGAAGAAGCTCCTTCTAAAGAATCTCTTAACTATCTACTAGATACAGGAGAACCTGAAGCTGTTGGTGAAGATCAAGAGGAAGAGAAAACTAGCTCTAAAAATAGTGAAGCTCCTATAATATTCTGCATTGATGTGAGCAAGTCAATGGATCAACCTGCAGATGGTCAGAAACCCAAATCTACTCTTCATTATAATAAAGCTATGCCTGTAAGAGAGCCACCAAAGCCAATTAACTCTAGGTCAAGTATACCCTATAGAAGGGCTCAAAGACATGTCCCAAAAAGGGCTTCTGCAGGTCCTACTAGATACCAAGGGATTAGCAAGGCAATTCTTGAACAGATCAAAGATATGGCTGAAACTAAAAGGAAGGTTGGAGTAGTATTCTTCAATAACAGAGTCCAAATCCATGGGGATGGAAGTCTAGAGCCTTTTGTCTTAGATATGAATAACTCTAAACCTTCAGATCCAAACATTCTGAACTCCTACGAAAACTTATTGGAGCAGGGTGAAAAAGCTGCTGGAATCTATATGGCCAAAGGAATTAACTATTCTTTGAAAAATATCCAGAAATTGGTCAATACTAAAAAAATGGGAGGTTCGACGGCTCTAGGCCCAGCTGCTGTAGCTTCAATTGCTATGGCTGGAAAGCTCGGCAACGGTGCAACCGTTGTAATCTGAACAGACGGACTCTCAAACGTCGGTGTTGGAAACCTGGCAGATATCAGGAGAGGAAGGACCACTGAGAAAGAAGTAGACTTATTCTATAATACACTTGCTGATTATGCTAATCTCAAAGGAGTATCAGTCCATCTGATTAGTATTAAGGGAGAGCACTCTGATCTCCAAACTTTGATGACTCTTAGTGATAAGACAGGAGGCGATGTCAATATTATTGATCCAAGTCAAGCTGGTGAGGGCTTCGGAAAGATAGTTAAAAGGGCTACTATAGCAACTAATGTCACTCTGAAAGTTAAGCTGAACAGAGCATTAGAATTTAGAAATGAAAATGAAGAAGATCTCAGTTCTGACAAAACATTACTTACTAGGAAAATTGGCAATGTCAACGAGGACAGCCAAGTCACTTTCTCTTATAAAATCAAAGATCTTGTGGATCTTAAAAAGCTAGATAGATTTACTCTTGACGAATTGAATTATATCCCATTCCAATGAATTGTCGAGTTCACCAAGCTCGATGGAAAGAAATGAATTCGTACAATTACTAAAATTTTAAAATCAAGTGATGATAAAGCTCAGATAGAGGAGGAAGTGGATATTGGAATCATTGCAGTTAGTGCTGCTCACCAAGCCTCAAATCTTGCAAGACAAGGAAAGTTCAGAGAAGCTCAAGCTCTATCTCTCAACAACAAGAAGTTCCTTAAGAAAAATGCTCATTCAACTACAGATCAGAAAGTGGTCAAAAATTGGAAAAGAAACATGAACTCGATGTATGGTCAGATTCATGACCAAAATAACCTTGAAGAAATGGCTTCCGACAGTGATACATTTCCTAAAATGCGGATGGTTAAGGCAAGCAAGAAAGCCATTGTCCCATCTCAAGCCTTAATGTCTACTGCATCTTCTAAACCAGCCTCAAGAGGACTTGGAGGGATGAGATCTAAAGCCAAGATGCCATCAAGGAAATTCAAGTCAAAAATGGGCGATGCTTTAAGCTCAAATCTTAACCAACAGTTGAGGTTTAATAAGAACTCTTTATTCTAGAATAAATATCAATACTTGAAATCTGGCTCGGGGTTTTGGGGTTTTGGGGTTTTGGGGTTTTGGGG